GGTCATCTGTCCTATACTAATACTGTGTATAGCTTAGGGTATGTCTTCATTACCGGGCGGATCGGCAGGCAGCGATCGATCCAGCGGGGATCGATTTATCATGTGTAGTCTAGACATAATAAATTGATTCCCAAGCGCTCTCCCGTCAACTCCTGAACTCCAGCTTGGCGAGAGGCTCAGGCAGAGTCGATGGGGGAGCGGCAGCAGTCGACTCACTGTACTGAAGACACCGCGGTAAGTAGATATAAGTATGTCGACTTCAGCTACGTTATTCACAAAGGGGTGGGGTGCAGGATCTATGAGGGAGTTTGCGGTGGGAAGGGGTGGGGCGCTTACCTGGAGCTCCTAGGCAGGGAGGACTGGGGGGCCTCCGTGTGCTGCTACCCCCAGGCACTGCCCCCGCAGCTTCCTATTGGCTGCAGGGGCACTTGGGGCAGGACACAGACCCACCCAGTCCAGGGGCTGCAGGGAGGGGCCGGCAAGCATGTGCAGTGAGCAGTCAGGGAGCTGCTCAGCTCCGCTGCGCTGCCGGTGGTGGGTGGGGGCCCCTGGCCATTTTTAATTGTCCGGGGGATGCGTGGGGGGGAGCACCCGGGGGCGGAAGGCAGGGCCGAGGGAGAGACCCAGCCTCAAACATTGCTGGAGCCGAGCCCCGGGCCAGGAATATTCCTGGTGCCCAGACACCACGGGCCCATATAACTCGACGCCCATGCTGCCGTACAAGAGTTACGGTAAATTGGATTGCACTAGGACATCTGACATGGTCATTTCAGTCAAACTGAGCCATCTCAAAGTCGCTAAGCAGAACCGTTACTGTTTCATCGGCCCAGTTTCCAACATTCTTTGAGCTCCTGACTTGTATTCTTGTTCCAGGCATTCCTGCCCCCAAACGAGCAGTTAAACCCAGTAATAAAGCCTAACACATGTGAGAGCTCTCTGGGTCCCAGAGTTGCTAAATGACCTTGCTGTTCTGTTTAGCATTTGCTGTTACTGGCAGGTTGACAGAGCAGAATCCGCTAACATTAATGTGACTGTACCACTCTGCAAGGAAAAGCTGCGAGGGCTGCCCATGCAGAATGATCGTATTGTTTAGAAGCTGCACTGTGGGTGCACTTTCCCCTCAGCCAGGCAAATCCCTCTGGGCCCTGGCCAAAAAGCCTTATCAAAACAATTGCTTGTTTATTCACATGGGTAGCAGCTTGCACAGAGGGGGCCCCCGGCATATGCAATCTTCTTTGGCCAAGCTTTGATTAGATTGTTATGGGGAATCCCCTCCAGTAAGACCTGAAAACAATGTGAGGAAGTGTACTCCATTGCAAGAATGGGGAAAGGGGGCTGGGCATGACTTTACTTCTGGTAGGCAGAGCACTTTTATGATGAGTTCCCATCCGGTTGGCATATATGCTCCCAACACCTTATGGGGCTCAGTTTTCATAACTCAGTCTAACCATCTGAGCTTCATTGATCATGTCAGTCACCGATACTTGCACAGACGTATTTGTGGGAATGATCTAGTTCTCTCACACCCCTCAAGGTTCAGGCAAAACATTTACCTCTGAGAGTGCTGATAAGCAGACGATCATTTATTAATCAGCCCATAGTGATTTCTCTAGGTAAGATCTGTCTGTTTGTGTCTATTACTCTACTGCACTAAACACATTGTTGGGATTAAACAAATAATCACGTATTTGATGGGTCACAGCTATTTGTACCTTTTCTGGGCAACCAAATAACTATTTTACCTTAAATATTACACTGAAGCAGCATTAAAGATCCAACAGCCCCCGTCCAAAACAAACAAACAAACAAACAAACACACACCACAACAGTGCTCAGTGCTCTTGTGATTAAAACAGTGGGCTGGGATTCAGAAGATATAGGTTCAATGCCTGATTCTGCCACTGGCTTCCTGTGTGACCCTAGGCAAATCACAATCGTTCTGTGCCTCAGATCCCCATCCTTAACATTTAGAAAATTACTCCGTTGCCTTTTCTCCCCACCCCTTTCTGTTTCATCTACAGAAATTGTAAGAACTTCTCCATAACATATTCTCTATAACATACTCTCCATAGCATGCTAGGGCTCAGGTCTTGGTTAGGACCTGTAGGTGCTACTCTAATACAAAAAATTATGGTTTGCTGTTTCGCTTGTTACCTTGGCTGTTCACATATATCTGTATGTCCATTAGCTGTAAGCTGCAGCAACATATGGCTAAATGACTGTTTATCAAGCCCATACCACCAGTACAATACACTCTGGTGGCACCACTTGAAGGGAGAACAAAAAACTCTCTTCTTCCTGTCCAAAAGAAAGACCAGCCAAAAGACACTGGAAGGAAGCCCTGCCCAGACCCTGGGCTAGAGAATTCTTAGCAGGGTGTATGTGCCATTAAAGAAGGGGAACATGTTACTTTTTCTGTTTACTTGACCACTGATGCACAAGGATCCACTTATATCAAGTTACCAGCAAAATACATGGTGCAGGGAATGTGTACTTGTAACAAGATCACCTTACCTCTCTTAGTACCTGGTGTCCCATCCCTCTGCATCCCCTTCTTCTGGGTCCAGGCCCTTCAGTCTCTCTCTTCTGAAGAGACCAATTCCAGGGCTTCTTAGTGATTCAACCCTCCAGACAAATCATGAACTTCATCCCCCTTTCTGGGAATAAGCAGAAGGACCAACAAAACAGTCAACACCAGAAACCTCATGTTTCACATCACCTTCATTGGTAGGTCTGTAGGGGAACCCAGGCCCTCCCTCCACTCCAGAGTCCAGTCCAGGGACACTGTATCAAACTGCAAAGGGACATCTGCTTGGACCTCTTGCTTCACCTCCTCCCTGAACCAGTCCCTACCTTGCCTATCTCTAGGCCCTTCCCACAGCCTGTTTTTAGGCTCTCTAGGACTCTTCTCTGGGCCACCGCAGAGAGACTCCAAGCACTTCCTGCCATCCATCTGGCTCTACTGTAGGAGACCCTTCCTTCTCCCTGAGACTAAATATCCTGCAGACAAAATCCCTATAGGTCACTCTTCCTATTGGGCTAAGCAGGCTCCTTCTTACAGGAGGCCTTAACACCCATCACCTGAGGAGGCAGTTGACTAGACACAGGTGAGGCTGAGCCCAACTCCCGTAAAGAGCTAGCCCACCCTGTGACAGTGCCACACACTTCCTCATTAGAAGCATATCAGATTGAAGGAGAGGAAAGGAAAAGTTCATAGGGGCACAGAGGAAAGAAGCAAAGGCAAAGTTCTCCCAGAATTCTAAAAACTTGACTATACCTGCCTATCTAATCCCCGATGGATTGTCTGTGGTGGGGATTGAACCTGGGACCTTTTGATCTTAAAGGATGAGCCTCTAATGCTTGAGCTAAAAGACTCTTTAGCCAATTGTTGTAAGAAACGTTGTAGCTGTGTTGGTTCCAGCATATTGAGACAATGTGGGTGACATAATATCTTTGATTGGACCAACTTCTGTTGGTGAGAGAGGCACACTCGAGCTTCATAGTTCAAAAGTGTGTCTCTCTCTCACCAACAGAAGTTGATCCAATAAAACATATTACCTCACCCATCTTGTCTCTCTTAGCCGAGGCAGTAGCAGGCTCATCAGTAATTATCTTTTGTGGGGAAAGTCATTAAGGGTACAGGGTGGGGGGAAGTAACGTCAGTGCAACCAGAAAAGCACAGATTGCTTACAGAGGAATAACATGCCTGGAAAACAAACAGTTCATACTAAGGCTGGCCAGAAATATATTTGGGCCCGCACACAAGGAACATGATGCTGAATGAGGCCAGTAGGATTCTGGATGGGATCAGTGCATCACTGTGATCTGGCACCGTTTTTGCACATCTGTTCCTGTGTAGCTAAAAGGTCCTATAGAAGCAAGTAACATAAACAAAACACTTCGCTGGTGACCAAACACATTGCTCAATGAACAACTATAGCCTTCAAATACTCCTTGAGCTACCAGCTAAAAGTATCAGAGGAGCAGTTGTGACAGAAAGGATTAGCTTCAAAAGCTGCTCTGTCCAGATGTGGGTATTTACTGGAAGGCAGTTTTAAAATGTTTATTTTGCATATACAAATAGAAATAATACAGCAAGAAAGTATAATTTGTGGGCCTGATCCAAAACCCATTGACATTAAGGGGAGTCTTTCCACTGACCTCAATGATCTTTGGATCAAGCCTCATGTAAATATTCTATTTGCCCAGCATAATTCAAGCTGACTGTTCTGTTAGCATTCACAAATGAAACCTAGAAAAGAACTCTGCTAAAGGTTCAAGCCTAAAGAGACAAATCAAGGTTCAAAGTAGAAAATGAGGTACGTTTCCCCACAAGTGATATGAGACAACATAGGAAAGGAATTAGGGCTTGTCTGCACAGGGAAATTCACAGGCACAACTATTCTTCCATAGCTATTCTAGAATAACAGTGTACACATGGGGAGTCATTCCAGAAGAGCTATAAAGCTTTAAATTCTCACCCTGCCTTATCCAGAATAGCCTCCCCATGTAGACAAGGCCTTAGACTTGATCAGTGCTACCTGCCTCTGCGTATTTCCTGAACATTGCCGTTGGGTCAGATGCCTAAAAGAAAGCCAGGGAACCCCACGTAACATATCCAGATGGCGGATCAGTGAATGGTGCTATTGGCTCATGCTTTGTTCTACTTTAAATAACAATGTTTCAGGGGCAAAAGGCCAAATTTTCCACATGTTTTTCATTAAATCTGCTGCTCTCTGTTCGCTCTCAGCTATTTTCATTGCTGGCTGTGGCTTACTTCCCAGCAAATGACACAGCCAGACAGATCATTGCCTGTGGCTTGTTCTATGTCTAGCGTACCTTTGAGGCTTTTACCACACTCTGCTAAGAACCTTGACAAGTGGACTGCACCATGGGGCATTCTCTGTTGTTTGAACTTCTTGAGGTGTGGAGCACACTGTTACCTGTGAGCTTTAAGCTGTATTTAATCCTGAATTTTCTGTATGCATTCTTGTTTGTAGGCTTGCTGTGGGATGAGACAAAGTGACATGCACTTGGTCTCTCTGCCAAAGGAAGAGAGCTCTGTGTAGCTCGAAAGCTTGTCTCTCTCAACAAAAGAAGTTGGTCTGGTAAAAGCTATTACCTCCCCCACCGTGTCTAATATCCTGAGACTGACACAGCTAACAATACTGCAATTCAGTGTTGCCAACTCTCATGATTTTGTCAGAATCTCATGATCATTATTGTTTTTCTTAAAGTACCAGCTCCTGGAGTCAAGTGGATATGTGATGATTTCAGTCTTCATTTATAAAGAAAAAGTAAGTTTCTAGCCCTTGTGGCTGTGGAGAAAGCTTCAAAATGTGACCCCAGTGCACCCTAAAGGTTCAAAAAGCAGAAGGCAAATAAAAATCTATTATTTTTACATAATCTCATGATTTTAAAGCCAATTTCATGATTTTTGGTGAGCCTGACTCAGGATTTTTGAACATTTGGGGTTGGCAATATTGCTGCATACTATTACAGCCCTGACATTCCTCTGTAACAGGTTACTCATAGCCCTTGTCTACATGGGGATTTCCCTTCATCTGAGGCTCCAATGTCGCTGCACCAGTGTTAACTCCTAATGTAGACAAAATACGTGTTATTTTACTGAAGCAGTTTTCTCTTGCTTGAAACCAGGGAAAGTTGCAGTGGCACAAATTGCAGCTTGCCTCGTCTATGCTAGGGGTTTGCTTGGGGGAGTTACACTTCTTGCTGGACACTGATGGCTGGAATCAAGACAAGTCCCCAGAGGGCAAATCTGCGACTCTGTAATAACAGAAAATTACAGCAACAAAAGCAACTGTGATACAGCTTCAGTGGAGAAATTGCCCAGACTTAGGCTTGTCTACATTGGGAGGTTGACCAGCATAGCGAATCAGGAATAACTGTTCCACTACAGCTGTTCTTGAATAACTCGCCACATGGACCTTCTCATTCCAGAATAAGAGTATTTAAACAGGCAGTTATTCAAGAAGAGCTATTGCTCTTTAAATTCACACCCTACCTTATTCTGGAGTAACTTCCCAGTGTAGACAAGCCCTGAAAGCTGCAGGACTTGGCCCTTTGAACGTAAGCATCATTGATGTCAGATTAAGTAGTGTCCTGGGCTGTACATATTCTATGAATTGTAGGCAATTCTCCCACTATTGGTCCCATGCCAGGGCAGCTTCATTGAAATGAACAGAGCAGTTCATATCCCTCGTGACTATAACTTCAGTCACTCAACAGACTTAAAAAGCCAACACTGCATCAGTAACACTCAGTTCACAATTTCATGAAAACTGATTCCAAGCCATGCATTACAAACATCTCTGAGGCCAAATAAATGATGAACATTGCAATGTAAACAGAAAGGGTTATAACTAATAGTGTTAATAAATCAAATATTTTTGCATAAATAAACTTAGTCCGTGTGTTAGATTTTGAAATGGTCTTCAACCATGCTATCTTTCAAATCTCCAACCTCAGGAACTTAGTGAAAAGATCTGAAAAAAGAAGAGACTTCCCAGATAAAACTATCAGAAAGGGTGATTTTTAAAATAATAGTAACTTGCTAACTTGCAAGCAAGTACTTTAGGGAAGATATTTATATATTATATGTCTGGGGCCGGGACCATCTTTTTGTTCTGTGTTTGTACAGCAACTAATGCAATGGCGTCCGGACTAGGGCTCCTAGTCACTAAGATAATAATAATAATTCAAACAACAAAAGGATTGAATATGTGTTTTTAATGCAAATCTCAATGCTACCTTTAACTATGGGACTATTATGGTGCTGGATGATGCATTGTGATATCTTGCATTACCACGAACTCCATTAGCACCAATTAATTGCCTAGACAAGATTAATGATTTACCAAGCTCCTATAGGTATTAATACTGCATTTAATGATTGTACAGTACGGCACTTGATATAAGGATCACAAGAGCCCTGCCCTGAGGTTTAGACTCTAATTGTTCTCCCCCTCCCCCCGACTGCTTATACTTTTCAATTCTTCAAAGCTGATTGAACATGCCATACGAATAGAGTGGAGGGAAATGAAAACATGATGCATATTTAAGACATTAATATCATAATGTGTATGAAACAATAACAGCCGGTATATAGTATACATGACCAATCTAGGACCCAATATTTTATTTTTAATTCTATCCATTCCTAGATGAAAACTATATTAAACTCAAATTAAAGGTTGAGTACATATCACTAATTTAAGGGTGAAAAACATACAGGGATGTTGTGATTATCTGAAAAACAAGCATCATAAACCCAGGAAATTCAGAGTTAAGGTTAAATTTAAAATAAATCCAAACCTAATGAGTTATAGAAATGCACAGTTAAGGAAGGCCAACAACTTTAACTCTGCCCTGCAGCAATGGCATGCATCAACATATGACTAGCACTTAATAGTGCTCTGCGTCCCAGATTAGATGGAACTGATATTTAAAGGCACATTAGATAGTTTCAGATTTTCCCCATCATCATGTCTGTACAGGACAGATTTCATTAAGAATTAAGTTCAATTGGTATAAACTTTAGATTGCAAGCTCTGTGGGGCACAGACTGTCTTTTTCTGTTCGTACAGCAACTACCTACTGCAATACAAATAAATAATAATTAATATCTAAGTGTTTAAGGGTTTAAACCAATTTAGAACTATTAGGAATTGGGATGATAATCTTCATAGCAGGCAGATGTATTGTAGGGTTTCTTGTGTCTTCCGCTAAAACATTTGGTCCTGTCCACTGTTGGCCACAGTATACTGGACTAGATAACCCGAGCCAGTCTGGCAATGTCTGTGTCTCTATGTTCGTCCACAAGATCTTTCTTCCTAAAGCTTCAATCCCAAATCAATTAATTAAGGAGCTGAATTAAGGGGCTGATCCTATGCCCACTGAAATCAATAACAAAGCTTCCACTGATCAGGTCTTAAAAACATTAACAACCTGAACTCTCTTGTCCACATCCACATGTGATAGCTTACACACACACACACACACACACACACATTCAATAAGGAGCCCTTACTACTGGACAAGGTTACTTATCCCAGCAGAGGATTAAATCCCATTGTACAATTTGTGGCAAAGACCATTTAGCACATTTACATTAAATGCTATTCGTTTAAAGAGTATTTTGTTTGCAGAGAGAACAGTTGCATCTCTATAATTAATGGTGATATCAACAGAGGTTGTTTTCCCATTCCATTTTTTTTGTTACATCTTCATGTCATAGCATTCATAATGTTGCTGCACTGACTGATTTAGATCATGACCTCTTTGGTGCAGGGATCATGACTTCTTCCTTTATATTTGTACAGAGTCAAATGCGCACTCAGTCATTAAGAATGATATGCAAAGGGTTATGCATGTTAATGGTTACTGACCATGTCCAATAAGAACAAACAGCTAAATTCATGCACCTTGTAATATGGTATGTTTGCTCATAGGCAAATAAGCCCAGTGGTGTTGTATTTTTGTAAAAGATTTTGACCAATATTCTTAAAACAGGGCCTGATTCTGCTCCCCTTGAAAACAATGGGTGCCTTGCCACTGATTTCAATGGATGCAGAAATGAGCCAAAGCCCACTGAAGACAGTGGAAAAACTGCTATTGACTTCACTGGGCCATTGACACAGGGGCAGCGCTCTTCATTTGTATTTCCTAGCTGATTTAGGCCTTGTCCTCGTAGAATAGTTGCAGCCATTTCACGTAAATCGATTTTTTAACTGACATAGTTAAACCAGTGCAAACTCCTAGGCTGACATTCTTGTTTTGGATTCAAATGGTTCATTTCAGTTTAACTTCAACCTCTTCCCAATTGACTTAAGCTAAAGTGAAAAATGCCTCTCTTGTGCCAAAATGAGCGTCCACACAGAGGGTTTGCATCAGTTTAACGATATCTGTTTAAATTCACCCATCAGGTTGTACCAGTGCAACTCCCCCATGTAGACAGGGCTCAGTCTGAGTAAAATGAGGCTGGAAGCAAAAAGCGGCAGTGCTGAGTGGTGACATGCCACAGATAGATGCTCAAGGATGTGACATCTTGGACATGTCTCTAGGAAATGTGCTGTACTCAGTGTACAGGGAAGCGTACTACTTGAAGCAGCCCATAGTGACTCACCCATGGAGTGATAACATACAGTGTGTGCTAGAAGAGCTCTTTTCCTGCTGTCTGGCAGAAAGAGAAGTTTTCCAAGTGGGAAAGTGGAAGGAAAGGGACAAAGAAGGGGGAGTTCTTAGCAACAATAACAACAACAAAAATGATGGTTGTACAAGTGTGTAAAGCCTGGCTTTATACAGTGCATAACCTTTGGAAACAAGGCAACTGATTTTTCTTCAGTAGCTTCTGTGTCTTTCTACAGTAGGTACTTCTATGGGCCTCATCAGGGTGGTTTCCTAGCCACTGCCTTTGTATAGTGGTGAGTCAAATCACAATATACAACTTTACAAATCAAATTGCCGTTCTATTAACCTCTTGTGTGCTATGACTCTGCAAAGGCCCAGAGCCCTCTAATATCTGCAAGATGATAATTTTACTTAAAAATGAAGGGGCTACACACTGAGGGACAAGGCACTACATACCCGAGGGACAAATCCACTGTGGTGGAAGTGGGTGGCACCTGCATTATTTCATTGGAGTTACACTCAGTTATGCCAAGAGATTATGCCCTGTAAACCCCTTACCCACATGAGTAGCCACTGCTTGTGAAAACAGCCTTGATGTCAGTGAAGTATTTGAATGAGCCAGGACTATCTGTCTAGGAAGAGATAAAGGAACAGGCTCTTAAATGCTGGGTCTAAATTGACCCAAGAGTTCTTGTGTATGGTGTAACTAAGTCAGTATTTAATCATTTGTAGTAGCACTTACTGGCATGTTTAAGTTCTTACAATTAGACCTTTGACATAAACATCCAGGGCAAAGCCTCTCTGCTTTAAATAGCTTTTGCCTCTGTTTTGCCCAGTTGCCTAGGTTTCTGTGCTGCTCTCCCCGGGCTCTGAGGAAGCTGTGTCATCATCCACCTACAGCAGCAACTGAAAGATTTTCCAAACCCCCAGTATAACTTTTGTTTTATTTCAAACTCCGACATCCTTCTCCCACTCCTGCCCTCTTGGGTGATGTCCAGAGAGCTCAAG